GGGAAAAATTTCTTTCTAAGTCCAAATCCTATGATCAGTTTGACCCAGCTAACATATAGATGAAGGTCCTGAGGGGGTTGGTTTGTTTGTTTTTGGTTTGATTGTTTTTATTTTCCCAAGTCAAATGCACAACAACAGAGAACAGGAAAGAAAAGAAGGAATTATTCTTCTCTGTGGATGTGCCAGGGTCCAGACATCCTCCTTTCTGTCAATCTGTCCCTCTAGAAATATTTCAAACATGCATCTTAAAACTATTTAGGTTTCTTACCCCAGGATAAAAAGGGAGGAAGGAAGGCAGGAAATGCTATGTCGCCTATGTGAAATACATTGTTCCTAGAGTTGTTGGGTGAAATCCTATCTTGGGCATATCATTTTTATACTGTGCTTTTTTATTGCTTGAAAAATATCCATATGTGCATATATAAACACACACTACTGCATAAAATCTTCAGAGGCTCCATATATCATTTGCCAGAGACTACTTTAGGGGATTATTATTTTTTTGGCTAAATGAAGCTGAAACTTGTAGAGGATCCAGAAAGTTGTATATTTTTAATTTGGTACCAGAAGGCCAAGAATGGTTCAAGACATTTTGATGTGGATTAACACCCAAGTTTGGAGAAGTCTTGAGGCATTTGTGGTGTCTTAGTCATCATATTTAGCTTTGTTTTTCAATCTCCCAATCTCTAAAATATTACTAAATTGTTCATAATCAATATTCAAGGCTAAATACTAAACTTTGTAAAGCTGGTTTTGAGTTTGTAGCACTTGTGCTGAGGAAACTGATCTTCTGTATTTAATTTTTAAGGGAAATACATGCAGATGATGAATATTCTGAAACCAATAGCATTTGATGTGATCCACTTCATGTCCCAGCTCTTCGATTACTATCTGTATGCAGTCTATACATTTTTTGGCCGAAATGACACGGTAGGTAGAAACATTATTCATTTCCAAGTATCACTGTACACAAGGAATGAGAATACAGAGGAGATATCTTTACTTAAAATATTACCTAATATGTAATCGCCAGAAAAATTAGTGGCGACAGAGTGAATTTGAATGCAGGAATAAGAAAAGGCTGATTAGATCAGCAGTAAGGGGAATAAGTACTGGGAGCATCATAGAATCATTATGGTTGGAAGAGACCTCAAAGATCATCAAGTCCAACTGTACACCCGATGCCACCATGCCCGCTAAACCCACTAAACCATGTCTTGAAGCACCACATCTAAACATTTTTTGAGCACTTCCAGGGATGGTGACTCATCATCATCACTGGGACATGAATCCTGTTATGTTTTGAATGGATTCTGTACTCTTTTTTTCCAGCAGTATTTTCAAAGGGAGGGAAGGCAACATTAACTACCTGAAAGTAGTGGCAGAAAATAAGGGGCAAAGGAGCAGTCTACAGAAGGAGGGTGGTAGTTTGGAGCCTAGAGGGTATGACATGATTTAATTTTCCTATGTGTGTTTCTCTAACTTAGATAAGAATAGCAAAAAAAAGAGAAGGGGACCATGAAAGTTAAGTAGTAACTCAGGTTTAAGAGGTCTGAAATACACTTTTTCAGATCTAGTATTCTTATGTCAAACTAATTGCATTAATGAAAACAAGGGTTTTTTGAGTGATTTTGTAGTTGAAATAAATGCTTGTTGGCAATGTCTGTACATAACATAGATCAACTTTCAACAGAATTATCCTAAAGCTTTCATAAAAAGCTGCATGTAAAAACAATTTTTTCCTCTCTTGGCCCTTAAATTACTCCACAAGTAATAATATCATGGAGTTCCAAGTTCATCATCATCTGTTGGCAAATTGTAATGGATTTTCAGACTCAGCATATGGTTCTAAATGATCTTGAGCTGTTCTCTTTGGCAGGACAAATGTATTTCCAATTTATTTGTGTTTAGAACATGAGTGGGTTTTGGATTTGTGATTTTGTTGTTGTTTTTTAAGATAATTGATTTCCATTGGTTTAGTCAGCTGCTCTGGTATTCACATTGTGTTGCATTTATTTTTGTTCTTTTACACCTCTGGTTTTGTGTTTTTAAAGCCTGTACCGAGTTCCTCACTCTCTGCTTCTAACAGAGAACAGCACAGTGCTAGGCAGGTAAACATTATAGCAGATGGGTGGTAAAATTGTGATGTTTTTGTAACATACTTAATTTTTGTTTTGACAGATGATTTTTCATGAGAAACATAATACTTACAAAGGGTCTATGAATGTAATAAACCCTCTTGTAATGCTGCTTAAATTTCCTCACTTCCCATGGTGTTTATAAGCCTTTAGAAAGTAGAGATGGGTAATGGTATGTGATTTAGACCACTGAGAGTGTTCCTATTTTATTTTTATTTACAAAATAGCATCAAATGGGATTCTAAAAGCATGCTGGTAATATAACTTCCTTAAATGGTTGAAATTCTTTGTGAATATTGTGCTTATGTTGTATGTGTGAGTTAGTACACACATAAGGAGAGTGATTAGTTGTACAGAGTTCATTGCCAGTTCAGTGAAAACCAAGGATTTAAAAAATATATGTTGAGTTCTATGTCTGCTCATGATGCTAGGTCATTACTCTTTCCAAACCTCTTTAAAATTATTATCCTATGTAGGTAGTATTTAGCTTTATTCACTGACAGAAGTTGCACACCATTGTAAACAGAATTACTCTTTCAAAACCTTTCTAATTTGTGGAATGCAAGTTAAGACTGCCTTTCTTACTTAAATTATGGAGCAACCTAACATGAAATTAAAAGGAATTGCCTATATTTAATATCTGCTCACTAAAGTGTAAGACATTCATGAACATGACACAGAATAGTCTTCCTTAGCAGAATAGATTTGAGGTGTGTTTTAATTTTTTTTGACAAAACATTACAATAATTTGTAAACCAATGGCCATTCTTACGGAAAACACTTTTTTTCTTTTTAACTAAAAGGGTTTATGTAGAATTGGTGATGAGTAAAAGTATTCTGTAAATTGCCTAATGCTCTGCTTACTAGCGTTACTAGGTCGTCAGTTTGTGGAATCTAAATATCTACCATTTTGCATATACAAATGGCAAAACCTTCTATAAAGCAAAGCAGTTGTACTGATGACTGACATGTTCTGTGTGAAGTCATGAAGTTCTGTCCTTGTGGAAAAATGCCGAGCCACAATATTTTGGGGGTTTTTTTGTTTGTTGTTTTCCCCCTCCCCATACACATAGGTGCCCAATTCTGACTTCAGGCTGTAACTGGTTGCCTAATAAATCTGGAGTTCTTGATATGTAATGTTTTATGGAAATTTGAGTTTGGTTTTACATTCCTTTTCTTTCAAATGTGAAATTGCCATTTTTTGGAAAGAAATATATCATTATATAATAAGTAAATGAAAGTTAATGATAGCTATTGAAAGTTAGTAATTGAAAGGCATAAAGAAAAAGAATAAGTGGCAGGTTGTGTGATGTGTAGTTTTGATGGTGCAGGTGCAAATTCCTTAAATTTAATGGCTGAAACTTGCAAATACATTTTTTAATTTTTTTGTTTTGTTTGTTTAAGCAGGATATTTTTTTCTATTTGTTCCTACCTTAACAGAGAGAATAGCCAGTCTTGAATTTGCAGTCCTTATGACCATATCTTGAAAAACTACTATATGACATTAAGGATGAAAAAAGATAATTTGGAGAAGTAAGGGTGTGTTTCTTAAAGGGAAAAAAGTTATTTTCTTTTTCACTCATATACCTGCAAAATCAAAGACAATTCAGAACTGATATTTCTACAGTAAAAATACAGGAAAAAGACACATTATTTTTGTAAAAAAGCTTACTTCACCTGTGGAAAAACAAAGATGTTAACAATTCTTTTTATCAAATGTGGACACTAGGATAGTGATTTATGTCTCCTAGATCAGGTTCTAGATTTCATCAGAGTGTACTTCCAGTGGGAATTCAGCTCAGATGTAAATTTTCATTGAGTATGTAGGAGGATTGGGGCAGATGGACATCTTAAGTCAGAAACATTAGATGCATTAAATGGTGACCTAAATTACACCATTTTGTATTTAAAAGGAGCAGAGGAGATGACATGAACTTGAACAGTTCCTTCCCTGATTTAGTCCACTGAAAGGAAGTCTAATAATAAGTGTGCAACAGTGCTCTAAATATTGTTCAATGAATTGCCTTTTGGTGTGAATCACATACCAGAACTATATTCAAATACTTCCAGATTCTTGACCTAAATGTGTTTCTTAGCTGTCATATTTCCACTTCCTTTGTTGTGTTAGTTTGTTCTTTGTTTTTTTAATTAAAAGTAGAAGATAAGTAGCTACAATAATTATGCATGTTGAATCAGACCCTCAGCTGGTATAATTAATTGCATTTACCAGGAAATCAGTGTAGCTATATTGATTTATCCCAGCTGAACATCTGCCCCATAATACTTCTGAGCTGTGAACATGAAGATGGCACATTCCTCAGATAGATCTTTACAAGCATTAAGTAATAATAACTGTTTTATAAAGATCAATGAATATAATTTTACATATACAAGTTAGATATTTAATAAGAAATTACAAGAAATTTTATAGCTTGAGAGAGAAGTCGAGACCATTTGGCTTGGGTGTGGTGTGCATGCAAGTCTTGGTGAGGCATCGTGATGCACCATTCTGGGCTTATCACCCAAATAAGAAAATTTAGAATCTTGCACCCAAATACAGTATTATAACAATAGAGAATACTGGTTGTTTATTGGTATGAATGGTAGGCTGTCATCTTCATGAAAGGCACTTGGGTCATTCTTCACACCAGTGCAGTGTTGAGTGCCGTGACCTCTGTTGATTTTCTTTTCATTTTGTATGGTTGTGATTATGTGGTAGAACTTTAATGTAAGTAAATTGTAGCTAGTGTTTACAAACTGAAGTTTTGCTGTATTACTGTAAAGTTTAAACCAATTCCTTTCCCAACTTAAATAGAAAGTATTTCTTCCAGTTTGAATCAACAGGACTGGGCCTCAGTAGCAGCAGATTACGCACCACGCTGAACAGAATCCAGGAGAGTTTGATCGATCTGGTAAGTACCTGGATTTTGTTAATGCTCAGTGGAATAGAGGTCTGTGTAGGAAATTTAGGGATTATATTTCATCGTGGATTTCTGATTTTTATCTGTCTTCATATTCAGTGTCTGTAATGGCAAAAGCTTAGTTCCATGGCGATTCATGATGTAGATATCATTATTGTATGAAATCACTTGTTTCTGATATACAACAAAACTAGTTTAATAGCTTTTGCTAGATGTAGCAACAAAATTATGTATTTAAATCTTATAATGTATTACGGTTCATGTAATAGAGACATTCCAGTATTATCCTCATTAAATGAGGCGTTTTATTAAAAAAACCAAGCACCAACAAATAGATGACTCGTTTTTCTAAAGTAAAAGAATAGCAAAACAGTAAGCTATCCTTAAAATCATTCACCTTACAAGATAATAGTAGTAGTATACTAAGTCCTTCGTTAAGCCAGTTCTGAACTGTGTGGAACTTTCCCTGTCATGTTTTATAGATTATATTCCATTGGTCACTTCATGAGTTATTTTCAAAGTGTGAAAAATAAATATGATCCTGATGTCACACTGGTAGTAGATTACTGTCCTTCACAACACATTACAAAGGGTAAACAGGAGACTTCAGGTAGATTTTGTGGATTCACCTGAGCAGCAACGTTTATAAAGAAACATTGCTAAGAACTACGCAAAAAACAGAAATTTGAAGTTCTTTTTTTCCACCTAAATATAAAACTCTTGAAACATTATGAAGAAATTTGCTAAGACTATCATAAATGGCTTGTATTGTAGTTAATACCATGGATGCTGCAGGAAAGATTTATTTTCTAAGGCTTCTACCTTAGAAAGAAGTAGAAGGCAGATACTCTACTCTGACTTTCACAAGGATTTGGCACTCCACAGAATTGTACTTTATGCCTTTTTAGTTCCTTGAAGTATTATATCGAATCCTAAACTGTTCTTTCAGAGAAGCTTCTTAAAGGGTTTTGAGGCCATTTCTTACAGAATCAGTAGAGAGAGTGTAAGATAACTAGTAACCCAAGGCCTCTATAAAACACAAAAAGGCTAGTCATATTGATATTCATATCAAAGGAAGTGAAGTGTATTCAGGAAGAAAAATTAATTCTAGTAAGATCTTACAAACGAATCAGTTAAAGATTATGGAAAAATGGCAAGTTATGGAATGAATTCTTTTAATTTAGTTCCTGATAGTGCTTTGCAGCTTTGAATTATTTTTATCAATCAAAATAATTTTTAAAAAATAATTTCTAGGAGTAAATTGTAAAAATAACAGCTTCTTTTTCTTCCTCTGTCATTTAACAGTACTGTTACAGACGATGTTAGTGTCAATTGAAATTAATAGGTATGTTCCAGGTAAGATTTGAAAGGAGGAAGAAATCTTAGCTAATTGCTATTAGCTTAAAGGCATTCTATGAGATTTATTAATATCTTATGAACTTATGCTGATCTTGTACTATAAATGGAAATTTTTCACTTTTTGATTCATGAGGAAGAAAAAGTCTTCTGGGTATTTTTATTGTTTGCTAATTTGTTGCTAAAGAGTTTGTGAAAGTTGAGATTAATCTTTATTATGTCATAAAATGGGTATTTCCCATGATTGTACAGACTGTTCTGGATTGCTCTCAAAATTCTTCTCTTTAATCTTAGATTATTGTAAGTTGCTTTCTGAAAATATTCATGTTTGTGTTGTGGGGTTCAGTCTCATGACCTGTTGGGAATTTTGGTTTTTTTGCATTGTCTTCTCTTCATGATAACTGTATTAAGGGTCATCATTTCTGTCACATTTCAGTTCCTGATGGCAGCATATTTCAATATTTTATTTTCATAAAGATAGTCTGAATCTGATAGTCTGAATCTGTGACTTGGACTCCGCCAGAATTGCATGTAGATCAGAATAGTTCCTCTAATCTGTCAGTGCCTGTGAAGTTGAGCTCTATGATCTGCTTCAGGACTCTTCAGTAATTTAGATTGAATCATTCTTAGTTTTCCTCTTGGACTGTGTCCATTCCTTTTTTGAGATACCAAGTGGATGAAGGCCTATTATTCTATATTTATTGTCAGGAGTTAGAGGAATAATTGGAGGGTTTAGAAACCATCTCCTCCAGCTGTTTGTAGACTTTCTGTAGTTTCTGTTTGGGATTGAATTAATGCTGTCTAGTTTATACCAGCTACTTTTTTAGGATACTACTTTTATTATTATTCAGCTGAATTTTAAGTTTCCTTTGTGAAGGAAAAAGCAAAGTGGAAGGGAGGTTCCACTTCTGGCAAGGTAAAGCTGAGCTGCGCTTAATGTTCTTTCTTGCATCTTTGTAGCATCTTCAGTATGAAGAGGATGGAGGTCGATTGGAGGTGTTCCCTGTAGCACCTTATGAAGCTGCTTTATTCAAGTTTATACTTCCCTATTATTACAGTGCAAGAAGTGTCTGCCCTTTTAATATATACTGTACTTACAGTATACTAATGATACTTGAGAAAGAAGTACTATCCCGGTTTTCATTTGGACCACTGAGAGACAGAAGAGTTGGGTTTCTGACTCATGATCACTGAGCAAAAAGGCTGTAGCACTTTAAAGCGCTCCTCTCCTCTTCCCTGCATCCCTCCTCATGCATCACATACCCCCTGCTTCTGCTGGAGCATCCTTGTCCCCTCTAAGCAGTACTCAACTGTATCTGAATGACTTCTCCACTGTCGCAATCTAATACTTCATAGCAAAGCCAACTGTACTTTATAAACTGCAGCAAGTCCACCTGCAGTTTAGATTAATGTTTTAGACTATGAACAGGAAATAGCTGAGATAGGAGCATGTTAACTTCACCACAGGGCAATAATGTGACACCTCAGCTGTGATACGTATTATTCAATGTCCGTATGCTGCTCCTGTACACCTATAATAATAAACATTGTAGTAGACAAAAAACCCTAAACAATAACCACCAAACCTCACCACTTCAGTTGGAAGTAAAAGTGCCGCTTCTCCTTGTATTTATGATAGAAAAACATGTTTGTAATTTGGATGTTTCTTTTATTTTGGATGTTTTGTAGGATGTAATCAAAATTGCAAAGATGAAGGGACTTTATGATGACAATGATGAAGGGACTTAACTCTTTACAAGATTGAGCAAGGATGTTTTTTAGGCACTACTGCTTTAAATATGCTTCGTATTTCAAACTGTTATACCAATAATGAAGTTTTGTCCAACTGTGGCTTTTGTTAATCTCTGCACTGCTAATATTGATTCTGGTTTAAGTATGGTCTGAAATTTCTTTTGATATATAAATGAAGTAGGTTTAGCTTAAAAATAAATAAAAGGGGCCTACCGATTAGTGAAACTGTCTTTATTTTCTTATAGTAAGTTATGTGGAAGTGTGCTGGGAGCTTATAGTGATTGAGTAACCAGTTTTCTGTGTCTAATCTACTTGTCTTTGCCTTAAGGAAATACTTGTAGGTAGACTAACTCAAAAGTATAAAAAATACAAGCACTTTGAGTATTTGTTTTAAGTAGATTAGGGTGCACCTGAGAGGTAAGAGACCAATATGACCTTCAAAAATTTGTTTGGCTACATTGTACTGAGTTTCATATGTGTATCTGAACTTCATATTCAGGCCTTTCCATAGCTAGTACGAAATAGCTTCAGTACAGATTTCTGCTATGTAGCAGCTTTAGAGCTAATAATTTGGATCCTCCAGAAACAGCACTCGAAGCTGTATTTCATTCATACAAGCAGGAAAACATAGAAAGAGAACAATGAAGAGGGAAGGAAGAAGTGCTGTTGTTTCAGCCTCTCTTATAATGTTAAGGTGCAGTTTTGATCAGGCGAAACACATCAAAACAAGTGCCTATTTCTGAGCTGCCTACGTCTCCTTGCTGATAGTTCCCGTGAGTGGGATATGTTTGAGAGACCTACACACATTCGGTCCTTGTGTTTGTCATTTCTAACAGGAATGTATTTTTGCAACAGCAATGGTGTTCATACCAGTCCACTGAGACCAGTAAGCCCCTAAGCAGGTACAAGACATCGATCAGATTAATGTGATCTATGATAATTGTTGATTAGGAAGGGAAATTTCTACTTCTGAATCCTTGCTTTATCTGTGTCTAACAGCTTCCTTGTATTCACAAAATGTAACTTAATCATGGTGCTGTCATTACCTAGATGTTGTTTGTGAATGTCCTGTGTATGCAAATAGCTGTCTTGAGTGATACTGCTGCTTCCAAAGTGAGATTTTTAGGGCAAATAACCATGGAATACTCATAAATATTTCATTGCAAACTGGCTTGCTCAAGTAAAACTGAGATTTAGAATGAAGTTTGTTAGAGTTACTGTGCCTTACAGCAGTAGAAAATAAATCCCTATGGTAAAGTATACAACCATTTCAATGCAATGTATAGAAGAGTAGATGGAAGGAATCACTGGTATAAGGAGGTATTGGTTAATGTATTTTAGATTCTGTCTTTTCTTTAGCTTTTGGGTTATTTCTCCATACAGTAGCTATGTTTTGGCAGAGATAGTAGGTAAGAGATTGATGGTGCAGAGATGGAAAACGTAGATTTTTCAGCTGTACAAATAAGATAAGGAGTAATGGGAGGAACAATTTTTTTCTTCATGCCTGACTTTCCAACCCATTTTGGCTTTGACCCTTTGATGCTGTACAACAGTACGGTTCAGTTATGATAGTCCCAGTTCTGGACCCAAACAAATCAGTTTTACTTAAAATGTCACAGCACAGTCCTGCATTACTTAGTGTGAACATGTACCCTGTTATGTCCTGCTTTGGCATACCAATGGGAAGCTCTGGAGAGTCTAGCCTGTGGAATTTGTTAGTTGGCATGGCAGTGCCTAGCACAGGATGCTGCTCATAAAAGACATAGCTAAGCTCCTCACTGAAATGGTAGCTGTGAGCTGTGATTCTTGGTGAGGTTCTGTTTGGCTGAAGATAATTTCTGCAACTTTTACAATCCTTGCTTAGTCTCCTGCTCCTTCAAAGA